ATCATGGAACACAGCTGTTTAATTCTTTTGGAGGGATGCAGGAAAAAGCAGAGGTAATACCTGCAGAGCCTTCTTGGGGGGTGCTAAAAGTGGCAGTACATGTTTTTCAAGCTATGCTTAAACTGCACTAGTACATATGTAAATTGAAATGCTTGTGTGTGAAGTTTCAGCTGGGGGTAAAAGAAATCCTAAACAGATAGAAGCAGGGAAATTAATTGTTAGGGGAATGTCAGGAAATATTCAAATATCGTCACATTTTCTTAAATAAATGCACATTTGTAAAACAACAGATTGCATATTCCAAACACTTTAAGTCTGCCCCTGTATCTATTCCCAGTCTTCTTCTGCAAACCAGAAAACCCCTACAGTCAGTAACTCTACATCAAATAAATTCAGAGTATGAGTTACAACCATCACACAATATGGTTATGTTGGAATATTTTTACTGTTTAATAACAGACAAAGTGGATATTTTATTTTAGAATCAAAGTGCTGTTATGTGGATTTATGGTTTATATGGTTGGCAGTGTTTCTGAGTACTTTCTTTTCCAAAGTACATAAATATAAAGTGGTAAAAGTTTTGTTTTTAGCTTATAAATGTAGTTAATCATCTGTTCAAACAATAAAAAATTCTATTTATTAATGGCCAAGAAATGTTAGGGGGTTTTGGTTTTTCTTTTTTTACGAGAGACTCCTTTAAGACAACGGGATGAAATGAATAGACAGCGAATATCACAATGGTTCAGAGGGGACCGTGGCACACCAGTGTATCATGTGGGACTTCACTCATTAATCCCTTAAAGCCGTTACTGCCTCTGAGTCTTATTTAAAGGTCAGAGTCTTTTTTAAGGATTTCGTTGATGAGGGAAAGAACTATTCGTGTTTGATCCATCCAGCCCATGCCGAAGTATGTCCTCTGCTGGGAATTCGCAGCCCTGAGCAGTGGGTGGGCAATAACGCGCAAGAGCTCTTGTGGGCTACATGAGGTTTTGTATTGATCGCTCTGTTCTTACATCCTGTTTTTTATCGTGGTTACAATATATGCAAACACGTCAGGCAATTAGACATGTGAAGACCTGGTTCTGCTTGATTATTTGACTTCCTGCAACTAATAATGAGGTTTTTGAAAGATTTAGTGCTATGCCATTGAATATAAAAGAGGATTGGAGGCCTGTATGTGCAATGGAGTTAGGTGTGGTAGATGAAATTTGTCCTGGTATTCTTATTGAAGCCTCCCTGTAGGCACTACCAGCTGTAATCAGCGCTGTTGCCAAAAATAACATTGCAGTGTCAGAAACGTGGGTGTTTTAAGGGTATAGCTGGGAGACTTGGAGTGTTCACTTATTTGTTTAACTTTAAATTAATAAAAATCCACAAGATTCTTTTTCTTTCCTGGGTTTTTGTTGAATTCTGTCATTTAAATTCTTTTTAGTATTCTTCATAAATGCTGCTGGCATCCAAATTACCTATAACTACTTAGGGAAAAGCTAAGTATCATTGTGGCACATTGAAAATATCCGCTTACGTGCGCAGTAATGGCCTAATATCAAATAAATTCCCAGCAGGATTCAGAGGAGAGGAAAGAATGCTTAAGATATAACTATTGTGTCAGTCAGTGTTATGCCTATGCTTTGAACAATGTGTTCTCTTTCAGTTGCTAAAATTTCTTTTTCTTGATAATGAAGACTAGAAATTATCAACAAAAGTCAGAAATTATGCACAGGCTATGACCATCGATACTAGAATAGTGATTCCTAGCATAAGAGCAAGTTTTGATTCTCAGAAAGATTCAGGATATACAATGATTGTGAAATTCCCGGAAGAGTCCCGTTTTTTTTTATTATTTACTACCTCTTTCCAGTAAGACTGTGGCTGTAAGAATAAAGCAAGTTAAAATCAGCACATACTTGACCTCTGTGGCACTGATTTCTCCTGCACTCAGAGGCTGGCTCGTAGGCCCAGGTCATGGACCCTGTTCAATGAGTAGGTGACCCCGAGATGAGACCGGGACAGTGTTACCGGGAAGGAGCAACAGTGTAAATCTAACAATTAGTAACCCCGATGATAAATACTTTAGAGGATTGGCCTGTTGAAAGCTTCAGTACATGCTTCAGGATTTCATTTAAGCATCTGTAGTAACTGTATAAAATTAGGAATACATTTTCTGTTACCTTTGTTATCTTAAACAAGATAATGTACATTCACTTAAAGAGTACACTTCTGGTTATTTCCAAAAAACAGACTTACAAGGGCCAATCCTCTCTGACAGTTCGTTGTTCCTGCCATAGTATGGATTGGTTCTAAGAAAGACAGGAACCAGTAGGTTTTCTGAATAGTTACAGTACTAATAATCAGATTATTAGAAGGGAATTAATACTAAAACTTGAAAATGTGTTTTAATTTGTGCCTCTTACTTTTTGTGTTTCTGTTTTTGAACAAATTGCAATTCACCAGTTGATTTCAGTGCAGTTTATGGAGCACTTCTGCATGCAGGTTTTTGTCCACATGACCGTGCCGCATTGCCTGTGTTACAAATACTAGTCATAATTTTTGCATGTCTTTCCTTCAGAACAAGGAAATGAGCACTAAAGCCTTAAGTTTAGCTTTAGAAAAAGCTTTTTTCCGTCTAAAGAAATCTTAGTGTCACTTTTAATCTCTCCTGTGAAAGTTAAATTTCTTTTCCTTACTTCCTTTTATGTTCAAAATCTAAATAATTTATTACTGCAAAGGAATGTGTACTGAATCCAGTAACTAACAGAGGATGTGGAAAGATTTATTAGGAGAAACATTAAGAGCATTCCTGGCCAGGTGTATTTTCTTTCTCTTTTGTGAAATGGGAAAAAAAATACACACCTCCAGCCAACTTGAGATATGGCTGGGAGCCCATTTGGAAAACAGCGTCTGTATTTGTGAAGTGCTTCTTAGACAAACTGAACAAAAAACGATGAGGGTCGCAAAGAAATTGGCACCACTGAATGTCAAAAAATGTGTTGCTGGATTGTGAAAGCGACTGCAGTGTCTGCTGTCTGAGTGGGTACACACAGGACTTCTGCTCTCCTTGTACATTAGACAGCAATTTATACCCATGGGAAATGAGGGGGTGAAACCCCTTCCAAATTGGAGTAGTGGGTTCTGGGTTCCTCTTTGCACCCTCGGTGCGTGACAAAAGGTACTGGAGGAGCAGGACCCAAGTACACTTCTGCACTCCTTGCTTACCTGAATGGGAAGTGTCACTCAGTAAACAGCAAAACACATCTGTGGTGAACATTTTTACTCCAAGGCATTTTTTTAGACCACTGGTAAATAATTTTACTGCATAATAGAATATATAGCGTGATTTTGTGAGGAGTGTAATCTTTTAGGGGTTTACAAATTGTATCAGCTTACTTATTTGATCATTTTTAGGATAAAAATATAGTCACATGCAAATATCATTTTTCCAGGAATAAAAGTAAAAAAAAAAAAGTAAAAAAGTAATATACTTGATAAAAGTATCAAGTATAAAACAGCTATTTCTTATTCTCTCCATTTCCTCTCTAGCATTTTTCCTGTCATTTACATAAAGGAAAAAGTTAATAGCATTATAGACGATAATGCTAGATATTTTAGAGTGTTCCAGGGATAATTTTCCCCCGTCATTTTTTTCCTTCAACCCCCACTTCCTATTCTCTGCTTTCCTTGTGTACTGGTTGAACAGGTAGACCCCCCTCAGCAGTAGCCTCCTTCTATAAAAAGCAATGATTAACAATATGGTTTTGTATAAATTGTTGGAACCATTTCCTCTTTCTCCATTAATCCACATGCATTAAACACATCATCTACAAATTATTCCTTGATGCAGCCTCTTAGAAAAGTCGTGGTGAAAAGATATAAAATGGAGCTGCTCCATCTGCCCGCCCGAGGCAGGAAGCTGTACCTGCATCCCATTTTACACACATGTATCCGGGTCTCATGTTACAACCCCCTAATGATGGAGTTTCCTTGATATGCCCAAAATCTGCTCCATTGCATACCAGTCCTTACTGGTAAAACACTTTCCTGACTTATACCCCAGGCTAAGTTCCCTTAAGCCTGTTGCTTCCAGTTTTATCCATTGTGGATACAGAGAACAGCTCTTTCTTTGCCTTTGTAGCTCCCCTTCTGTATTTGAAACTCTTCTAGAGCCTCCCTGGAGTTTTGTGGACCTCTCTTTTTCTCTGCTGCTTCCCAGAAATTGTTCCCTCCTGTTTCTCTCCCTATGGATGTGTCTGTGCCTGGCTACACCTATTGATACTTTCCCAGTGAGCAAATGAAAATGTTGCTGGCCAACCTTTTATAGTTACTACAATTAAGAAGACTTGGCAATTAGACAAAGGACTCTTTCAAATGGGAGCTGGAGTGCTCAGTTAGAAGCACAAAATCAAAGTCTCGTTTTATTACTTCTTCCTGTGTTGGTTTCTATACTCGCCTATCAAAACCAGACTACTTTTTCAAGTTATTTGATACAAAAGATCAGCCTAAGCTACTGAAGTCCCAGTGCTTAAATGCCTTTGTGAGTTTAAGTAGTTTGTAGACTACAGATGGGATTCAGTCGGTGCTTAAAGTTATAGGTCTTTAACTATGCTACTCAATTAAATCCTCAATTTTGTTCTAATGTTTTCAAACCCAAAATTTGGGCTGCCTTTTAGATTTTAAAAATCAGTCAGGAAGAAATGGCACAACCAAGCTTCTGTTTTGGATAAATGACATTAATTCTAGCAGTTAAATGTATTCCTTTTTAAAAAATACTTTGGCTTTTTAAATCATCACAGAGATTGGAAAATGGATACTGCTATGAAATTGTGTTTCCTTAAAATGTAAGTTTTAGATGTTCTTCTTCTAATTGCAAATAAATGTTTTGTTGGTTTTTTTTTCAACAATCACATGGTAATTTTGCATACTTGAACATCAGTTTTGAATATTTGCTTTTTCCACTTCTGTTAACATATTTTTTCCCCTGCTCTTTTTTTTTATTTCCCCAGGAACATTTGCTGATTCAGGAGACGGTAAATTCTGCTGTTGCTCTTATCGTGGCATTAATAAAGGACAGAAACCCGGAGCTGATTGGACAGCTGTTGGTAGCATAAGACCATAAATCACGTGTTGCTTTTGGAAATGTTTCTTTTTCATCATCCATTCACCAAAGGTCTTGAATCATTTTACCCTTTGATTAAAACTCTGGATTTATGACATTTACTATTAAGATCTTCTAACAACATATTTTTGATACTTAAAATGCAAGTCTGATATTATGTATAAAGTGTAAAATGAAATACAAATTATTCTGATGTACACTGGGTACATACTGTGAGAAGGATACTGAAATATTTTGTAAGGTGCTGATCATTTTAAAAGGCACACAGAGCACACCAAAGCATTCATGCAGAATTATCTTTAACCGTGCACATGTGTTGTACTTTAGGACTGCATGAATGAAATTTGATTTAAGATAAAATAATCCTAAAACACAGATCTTCTTCTTTATATGAAATTATTGAAAAACTGCTGCTATCTCTATTAGTGAATGTAGAGTTCATTATACAGTGTAGCCTTCCTGCCACAAACAGAAACGCACATTGCAAGAAGTGTTTGATGGCTCTGGTCCTCGTCCTCCATGTAATGAAGGTAACCTTGGAGCAGTGAGGTGCTAAACCCCAACTTCGCCAGTTTTTTGGCTGTAGTGCTCCTTAGTGCTATGCTTCTGCCAGTACCACGTACCATTGTTTTGAAGCAGATCCCCTGAGTACTGTATTACAGTGTGTTTGCATGTGTGTGTACATATATGCAAGTACGTGTGTATGCATGCTGAAAGGAAGAGTTAAGACCAAAAAAAAGGTTTCACAACCCAATCTGTAGGTAATGGAGAAATAGGAAGATTCTGTTAGCTCATCTACAAGAATACAATTTTCATCTCTTGCTGGTTATCATATATATGTATGTATAAAATAGTAATGAAGAGAACTGAGTGTTATGAGTTCAAGTATAGGCTACATTGATATTCCAGTGTGGAAAGTTGGGACAGAAAGGTAAAAGGGTGAATGGTTATGTGGAGTATCTCCAAGTGTCACAACCACTAAGAGCAATGCAAGAGGAGAGTCCCTGAAAATCCCTGTCCCTCTCTGTGCATCAGACTCAGGAATTCCAGCTTTCCTGCAGCTTTTGAAAGGGCCCGGTTAATGTCTTACCTACTGCCATGACTGGAGTGAGGTCTTAGAGAAGTATCCCCACCAGAAGTGTCCCATGAGCCCTCATTCACTCTGTCCTGAACGAGGGCACTGTCAGTTCAACACATTTCACTCTGGACCCAGCATTCCTCCCATTACTCCTACCATGTTCCACTCCCTCTGGTGCTCAGACAAAACAGCGTAGCATGATCCAGGCTTGATCCCCTTCCCCTTCCTCCTTCCCTTCACCTGACTGTCCGTATCTCTGTTTTAAGTCCCTTTTAGAAGCTGACATTGATCTCAAACTTCCTTCCTTACCCGATAAAATAAAGAGTTGTTAGCTGACTGCTCTATAGCCAAAGCACACATTTTCTTCCACGCAGAACTCAGTCATCCTGAGACAACTAACAAAGTTCTTGTGCATCATCTGCTTTCTGCTTCACTTCTCTCTCCTCTCCCCTTTGATTAATAATTTGTCCTTTTCTGACATTGTACAACATAAGCATTCATATTAGCTCTGTGTATGGTTATACAATAGGCATATTTTATTCATATATATATTCATGCCTGTTCATATGCAGAGGACACAAATAAATGAGGAACTAAAGAATTTATTATTGGTATTCATAATTTAACAGGAGAGTTTTCACAAATCAGTTTTCTGAGTTCACTTTTACAGTAATGAATTTGATGAGGGAATCTGTCTCACAGCTTTTAAAAGACATGATGGAAGAAGTCTCTTTGTATTTTGACTGTATTTTGTGAGTCTTCTTTGCTTGAAGACTGAAATACAATCCATGGTGTGTTTTCCCCATGTAATAATAAGCAAGTGAATTTAGAAAATTCTTTGTTTTCCATCACTTTAATTTATCCATTGTGATACTGTCTTAGCATTGGATTGTGTGTAATTTATCATTTGCTTAAACAGAACCTTTTACTGTGTAGTGTTGTTTTACTTACCTCATTCTCTTAAAAGGATTTCAGTCCAATTAAAAATATTAATGCAATGAAAAACTGTAATGAAAAGTTATGTTATGGTTGTGTATGGACTTATTTTGAAAAAAGAACAGACAACGCATAACAAAACAAGTTTCAGGTCAGCAAACGTACTTAGTACTAATCTTAAATAGAAGAAGTACTAATCTTAAATGGAAAATAGTAAACTTTAATGTACTGTTAATACTTGCATTATGGATTATTTTATCTTTAATAATCTTAAAATAACCTACAAACACTGAAAAATCTATTTTGCTAGCAGCAAATACACCAACAACAGAACTACTAAAGCAGATCATGAAATACTAGAACTGCAATAAAAAGAATGAAAGAATCTCAACTGTGATTAATGCTATTGTGTATCCAAACCAAATTTAAACGGTCTTTTGGATGATTGTTAATACTTACAATGGGAATAAAGATATAAAATGAAATTAAGAAACTGGTTGATTGTTTTTTGTCTGTGCATAGCTTCTCACAAATAGCAATATAGATGAGAATCTTGGCAGCCTTTTGTACACACATGCTGTTTTGAATTTAACTAGTGAATTAGTCACCACCCATATTGCTTTGAACATTTGGACAGAGATAACACGGAGTAAATGAAAGCTCAGACTCTGCCAGCTTTGCTTACCTTACTCTTCAAGCACTCTCATTGGTATTCCTTGGATAGCGTTCATCAGAAAAGAGAATACAGAATACAGCCCTAGGAATGCTTCTCATAACTGCAAACTTGAGTGACTTAGAATTGTATCTTGAAACCAAGCCACTTCATGTGAAATCTGAAAATTCAATTACTTCATTTGTCTTAGATCAGTTATCAGAAGAATTTCTAGTTAAATCTTTTTTCTTGAGCTTTCCAGGCTACCTGCATGAAAAAGGTGGTTTAATGGTCCCCTAATAAAGGCTGAAAGAATGAAAATGATAGAAAATGGTGGAATTAGAACCAAAACCAATACCAAACAGAAAAGTAAAGCCAAACCAAAAAGCAAAGAGGAACAAAGTGAGATGTGACTCTATTGTAATCAGTGGCATAACTGTAGTTTACTTTAAAATACCACAATGCAGCTTTTAGCTCTTCTTGATAACTGATGTAAGCTGGAGAATAAAATGTAGTATTTCTGTGTGTCACCAGAGGCTCAGCATCTCCACAGTGTTGCTCTAGCTGCCATACAAGCAGAGGCTTCCAAAGACACGTAAGGTTCCCGACTACTGCTTGGCACTTCCCAAAGATTCAGCAGCTTCTCCTGGCTGTGGGTCACTCCACTAGAGAACGGTCATAGTTGGTTTGCTCTGGACACTTGCTACCAATCACGGGTTTTTGTTCAGGTTTAATTTCTGAAGAAAAGCACATTAAATTCCTGAAACACAAAAGCATTTATTATCTTATATCTCCCTCCTCTTATTCTGTAACTTTGATCTGCAAAATGCTAGTTGATCTCATCTAGCATCCACCAAGATATGCAGACAATGCGTCTTTCCCTTTTTTCCTGTTAAAGAAGGTTTTGGGGTTTGGGAATAAGGCTCATGAGCCAGGATTCTGGGCCTTTGACCTGGCCCAGTGTGACTGTTCTCATGACTGGGACATGTAAATGGCTGGGAGTTGCAAAAACTGTGTGTTAGGGCATGAATTGAGCACTTCAGAGTATTGGTAGTGCCCAACCTTATGTTTTTTAAGATTTCCGATTATTCTCTCTGGTGCGAATAACAGATGCGGTAGTCTTATTCCTGACTAACTGAAAAAAAGAGTAGTTAGTTATTGGGCTGATTAATTCAGGTGCATAGTTTATGAGATGGTAGATTTTTCTCTTTATGTAGGTAGTGAAAGAATGGTATTCAGAGGAATTTCCTCTTGTTTGTTTCAAAGATCACTTATTAAAACCACAACTAATTCTCACTGAAACAGGGAAAGCTGCTGAGACTTGTAAAAATAGGGCTCCCATTGGGAAAATATGTTATGAAATATTAAGATAGAAATAGATATCTTACCTATATCTTACAGAACTATATAATTGGGATCTGAAAAGTTCAACGATAACTACATTGTTTAAAGTCAATCTTGAAGAGCTGAATTCTGAGAAACTCAGAAACTGCTTTCATTATTCCTGCCCAACTCAACCAATCCAATCTTTTGCACCTGGTTTCGAACCATTTGTAATGGCACCCAGTTCAACGGCTCATGCCCTGCTCTGGGTGCCTCCAGTGAGATACCAAGGCAAAATAGCAACATGAGTTCAAATCTTTGTGTCACCAATACCTGCCCTTCCAACTTCAGACTGGAGAGTTTTTATGATGTCTGTCTCCCTTGGCCTGTTCCTCATCCCAGTTGTTCACCACAATTCAGTTCGTCTTGTGCTTCTGGCAAGCACCAAGGGAAGGAAGCAGTCTCTGACACTGCATTTTTTCCAGTGTAAGTCGATTTTGATTGACAAGGCTGTAAAGCACTTGTTGAATATACATTTTCCTTGGTTATTTCTTCCAGAAATACTCAGGCTTGAGATCTGAAAAGCACAATTTCAGTGCCTGTGCTAAGGAAACAGTCTCAACTGTGAATATACGTTTATGATAGAATATACTCGGCTTGCATACACCAACCTGAGGAGCAAAGTGGCCTTTCTTAACATATTTATTTCTAGGTTGACTTAAGTATGCTTTTCAATCTTTAGATTGAAATGGATCTTCTCCTTCATCCTGCATATGTTCGTGTCTCAGAAACTAAAATTATAATTCAGTTAAAATGCCACAACACTGAATTATAACACAGTTACAAAGATAAACGAGAGTGTAAAGAGACTTGGAAAAGCAAAAAGTGACGTGAATTTAAATAAGATGGAGAAGCAAGGAGGCAAGACAGAATATACCAGAGCTCCTCCAGATGGCAAAAACTGTAAGGAAAGCCCCTTGAATGGCGTGATCCACTAAGGGCT